TGATGCTCGCGTATCGCGCGCTCGACCGAAAGAATTCAAGCCCGGTCTGCAATGAGTCGTTATTCAGAAGTCGAAAATAGATGTCGGTCCTTTTTATTTCACCCGGAAAGAAAAAGGATCGACGTACAGTACCAACATTCTGACTGACACCTCATTGCAGACCTTTAAGGAATCACTCCAGCATCCCCTTAAAGTACCTAAAGGACCTTGTTTTCTCGCACGCAGTTGCGAGAAGAAATTGCTCTCGCGCCGGACGCTCGGGACTATCTAATCGATCGCGACGCTCCTCTCCCTTCGCCCGACGCGTCCGATTGAGACGCGCAAAGCGTAACGCGCGAACCGGAATGCGATCGGTCGCGACGACGGCTCGACAAAGGGCCGCGCGAAGACGAGGGTCAACTTGACTCTCCCCGGTAGTCTCATCGCCCGGTACACACCGGGCGGCCCCGCCACGAAATAAAGCTACAATGCGCACATGCCCCCGCGGGGATCGATATGTTTACACGACCGGGGTTACGTAAACGCGAGGAGAAGTTCGTTGACTCCGCTCGCTCGTCCGCCCGTGCCCGCGCGCGTTTGCCCGAAACCCTCGGCCCCGATTCACAGGCCTGTCCGCGCATTTGCGAATCGTCTTGCTCGCTCGTCCGATTTTCTCGAGATCGCGGCGTGACTTGGACGTGGCCGAAATGGCAGCGCGCAACGAAAATTCGGTACTTTGCAACGACCGAAACATCGCGGCCGCGAGCCGCCAATTATTCCGCGAGTATTTACGTAACGCTGAAACCGACGGAAGATGATTGCGTTGGGCAATGCTGCCGTCATCGAAATAAAAAGGGAATTTTGAAGCGTCGAGCCCCGCTCCTCGAAATTACGCCGCGTCCCCACAAAGGGTTAAAGTCGATTCGTTACATCGATAATCGAATGACGGCGCGGTCCACTGGAAAATTACGACAATTACAGAAATTACGGGGACTAAATGAAGCATTTATTTCGAAAATGGCGGAAGGCGTACGTTAAATCACAATGGAATTAAATAATGTACAAATTAGCGAGGCACAGACTGATTCACTGCGCCGAGTGGCACGCTACAGGGTGATTGTGCAGAATCACGCATCGTATAAAGTTAGCAGAGATAAAAGACACCGCAAACACCGTGTCCGGATACACGTGGGCGCGGAAACTTTCGGAAATTGGATAAGAAAGGTGGAGGATACGGAGAAGCTCCCTGGGCGGATAAAAATTTTCTCCCGAGTGTTTGTCGTCGTTTGTCCCCGTATAATGGCCCTTAATGAGATTTCAACAATCCGCACCTCGTGTCCGCTTCCACGATTCGTGTCTCGCCGAAGGCGCAGAAAAATATTAGAGACTCTGGGCGCTTCTCGTTTTCATTTACGCTCCTTCGGCTCCGCCGCTCGCGGTCGATTCGCGCTTTAATTTCGTAAATCCAAGAAGATCAACGTCGCGCGCGAGCTATACGGAGATTGAAATAAGCCCGCCGAGCCCGACGTCAGTCGTATCGCCGATATGCGGCGCGGCCCCGCGGAATCTCCGCGGAAAGAAGATATATTCAAATGTATGCAGGCTTTTGTGCGCGGAGAGTTCCGAGATGCAAATATTTATACTGGAGTGAATTTACAATCCGACGGCGTTAATTATGCCTCCTCGCGGTCCCCCGCTCGGGATTGAATACCGGTGGCAAAACGGCAGGTATATACCTCGTCTCGCCCGACAATTATCCGAGATGGCTTTTTACGAGGCCCCGGCGAAGAAACGCTATTCCGCCGTTTGCGAGCCGCGGCTTCTTTACGCCCGCTGTATTGCGTTATTACCAGACTATCGTAATGGCCGCGACGATTTTCGGGGTAGTTCCGTGCCCCGAAAACACCGGGGGACGATTTACGAGCTCCGGCACTCGGGGTACCGAGAATCGGCGCGCTCTCGTGAGCGCGGGCAATATCGGTCTCTCGCAGACGGCGAAACGCTCGTTTCTCCCGTCCGCAATCAGCCGGCCGATCGAACGCGTCGGCTTACAAGTCAATTAGGTCCGTATTCTTGCCGGGGGACCGAGAATTACTTTGAATATTGCCTCGCAATTAACCGCGGCCGGCCATTGAGGAGTAATAGCGCGGGCACGCCGGCAGTTTACGACTTCCACCGGCATGAGCGGATATTGCGGTGCCTCTCCATTCATCGCATTCCGTACGCCGAGATGTACGCAACGCGCGCGCGGAGCCGCGCTTAACGCGCATTGCATTCGGCATTGTGCCGGCGTGTTTCATGCCGCGCCGCGGCATATCGAATCGCCATCGCGCGGCGATTCGATCCGATCGAGGATCGATGTGCGCTCGACCCCGCCGATCGATAAGGATAACGGTCAGTTTTTTTTTTCTTTTTTGCGTGCGCGCGGGAAGATAAGCTGCCTCCGCGATGAACGGACGACGTTAGAGACAACTTCTCACGGCGATCGAAATAGCGTCGAGAGACGTCGAGCTTTATCGGTACGATTTCACTTTATTATTCCAGCCGCACATGACGCGGGGATGTCGTCAAACTCGTACGATGGTATACGTATATACAGGGTGTCCCATTTTAACTTGGACGGTAAAATATCTCAAAGACTAAGCCCAGCAAAGCAGCAATGTTTTTGAGATATTGTACCGTCCAAGTTAAAATGGGACGCTCTGTATATAAAATAATATTTCAAATCCTCCCCCTCACGCGCGCATTATTTATATTATTTTTATTATTTATTATATGCCTTACGAAAGAAGTTGACGCGCACATCTTGATAACGCGCGATATGCTTGAATGCGTTATTCTATACTGAATAATTTATAAGAGAGTGGAAGTTTCAAACGAATGAATGAAAAAGTTTTACCCTCGATAACATCTACTTGAGGGAGTCGGGTGGAATCGGGATATAAGTTTGGAAGCATCGTTTTGGTTACAAGTTAGATAACCATTACATTATTTAGGAAAAGAAACCTTTGCGAGAAAAATAGGCAAGAGATTACAATGACAGGAAAGAAATGCGTTAATATTTTTATATCCGTTTTCCATTAAAAGTTTCACCGTGTGATTATAATCGCGTTTAAAATACAAAGTGCAGCGTCGTCTGCGTAGCTTCGGAAGGCACCGAGCAGCATTTGGGCAACCAACTTTCTTAAACATATGGACAGAAATAACTGTTCGCCTGTCGAGCGAAATAAAATAAATTAAACAAATAAAAGTCATAGGGCTCTGAAATTACAAATGCAAAGTAATAAAGGATATAAGAAGCAGGATGTTAGTGTCCAAATGATATTAATTTTTCGCAATAAATTACAAAATTAAAATCGCTTACAGCGAATTCGGTTGGTTGCACTAGTGCACCCTAAGCCTTGTTTCCAGTCAATTCTTATATTTAAAGATCTTAAATATCTCTTGCAATATTTCTTACTCAGAAAAATGGTCTGTGCAACGTTTACACGGGTCATTTTTTGTCTGAATACTCCTTGAACGTGTATTTAAGACAAAGTTAATGTAAGAACTGACTGTAAACAAGCCTTAGCGTGCACTCAGTGC